AAAACATCCTAGTAGGTCGCCATAAAAAACTAAAATGCTTTTAAATGTAATAAATATTTGAACCTTTTGGACCTGAATTTAAAACAAACCATAAAATATTGAGTGAGAACTTTTCCCTCATGTTGTGTCATTGCTACAGGCTGCAGTTCACAGCAACCAGCTGCTATTTAGTGGGCCGGTGGTTCGATGCCTTGCTTCTCTGATCAGCTGATCTGATGCGATTTTCAGTGCTCCTCTCGTCGATAGTGATACTCGCTCAAAGAAAGCAGTTTCAACAGCTCTGTAACGGCATTACGAAGGCAAAATCTGAATCCATTAACCAGCAGCTTCGTCTCTCTTTCCCATCAATACCCTGCAGTCTTTCTGATCGCAATTATTAATTATACATTAGTCTTTAAAGATTGTGTCTCGGGGAGTGGCTGGCTTCAAAGACGGCACTCAGTGACACTGAGTGAATAAATTCACTTTAAGAAATTTTTTATCATTATTAGTATCATTATTAGTGTGTCATAAAACCAACTTTTAAATCATTTAAATACTTTGCAGTTAAGATATTGTTATAACCGAACTTTGATCCAACTTTTTGATCAAAAAATGTGGACTCCTCTCTTAGCCACCGTGCCAGTAGCCGCATTTACATTAGAAATGTTACAAATGTGCACAAAACCTTTTCAATATTCTGCTAATGTCAGAAAAAACCCACAATATTCTAGTCGTGGTGTTTCAATTAAATAAGAAACACAATCAAAATCAAACATGAATACGTCTTTTCAAGTGATAAATTATTAAAAAAACACTGCGCCGTCACTCTCCAACTACTTCCTGTCATTTTCTTAATGGTTTCTGTCACTAGCAACATTTGTTGTTGATTATGTGACTCCTCTGATGCGAATAAAGGGTTTTCATTGCAGTTTTCTGAAATGTTAGGGATTAAAATGCTGTATTGGGGGTGGAGAACATGAGGAGGGGAAACGGAAATCCTGTGTAAACTACTACAAAATAAGAGCATGAATCAAAATTTCAACACACGTTGAATTTCTACTCACAATCTGAAAAACATCAAACAAAATGAGCACTTTAAAATTTATTCATGAAATGTAACATTTTCAAAGTTAGCAAAATGCTAAAGAATTAGCGCATTAGCGCTAGCTTCAGTTTGACTACCTCTGAAAGGATTTTGATTTGGAAACAAAGAAATAAACTTCCTACAAGGTAACACAATAACTTTGTACAAACTTTGGTGTTTTTAGAAGGAAAAAATTAATAATAATATGATTTTTGGGAGCGTCCCACTAAAGCTTGTTTTACCGTTTATTTACAAAAAAAATGTCACGTTTTCAAAGAATACAATAAAATTCTGACTGATTGCAAATCTTCAGTCTTTAGATCCACAAACCACTTGGTAACATCTCTAAGATTATAAGTTCACCCAATTTATAGCTAAAATTAACACAAAACTCTACAATAAGGGCATCGTAAGGTAATATTTTATAGATTGTGGTCAGAAATAAGAATAAGGGTCAAATACAAACTGAACCACTTTATCACATGTTATCAATTAATCTATAGACACTTTATTAGTTGTTGATAATTCTTTATTACTCATTAATTAAGAGAATGAGACTGAAAAATGAAGTTTAAAAATGCTTATTGTGCTTTAAAAAATCTGAATGTTTAGTACAACAAAAATATACGTGAGAACAAATTTGTCTCACTATTTGAAAAGATTTTGTCTCCTTCTCAGCCTTAATTAATGCATAATAATCAATTATTAATAATTTATAAAGTGTTCTGAGATTTATTTAATGACATTAACTATTTATTACCCATTCAGGGAATATCTAGTTTTATTTGCTACAGATACAAAAGCTATAATTGTATTACCACATAACAGCAGCCAGTGAATTATATAACTTGTCTGCGGCTAACGCAGCAGCTAGCTGCGTTCAGCGGCACACTGACCGTATCTCAACCCCTAATGCACCTCTCTCCCTCATGCACTTCTTTTTCTTGTCTCCCTTAAGTCAAATGTCAACCAGTGAATGGCAACTCTATCAATATTTCAGAAGCAATTAAATAAAGCACACACCATAAATGTTTAATGTCACACTGCTGAGAAAGCCAAATTTTCTCTTCTATCATTACAGAGACAGGATGCCAGCGGCAAACGCTGTGTTTAAACAAACTGTAAGCACTCAGTTTGGACTCATTTCAGTTACATTCAGCAGGTAACTGATGTTCAATGTCTAGCATGTATATGTAAATATATACCAGGGTTTGTCCCACAAAACCTCAACAGATGTAATAAATATCCCCGTTATCAGCATTATTAAGCCGATCCTGGTGCTTTCAGAAGCACTGAGTGAGAGACTCGTTCCTTTAGCTTTCCTAATCATCTTGGCTTCCCCCCAGCCCGTCCATTAGGCCGCTTTCAGATTCTGGTAAGACCGACTTTGCAAAGCTATGTCACAGTAAATAGCAAGCACACAGAGGAATACGCCAGAGCAAGCAAGCAAGAGCAAAGGGCAGAAATGCTGCTTACTAGAATGAACTTAATATAACTTATATATGTATACCGTGGCTTAGAAATGTGTTTTTAAACGTTAAACTGACCCAAACTGTTGGCCACATTACAAATAAGTGGAAATTTTGGTGTTTTAAGGATCAAAATGACAATAATTCATATAAGTAACAAAAAATGACAAAGAAAATGTTTCCAAATCAGTTTCTGTCTGTAAGAAATTTATAAAACTTTAACAGAAACTGCAGGTGTGTGTCTGTCTAGTGAATTTTTGGTTTAAACATTTTTTCCATTCAGTGAGTAAAGAAATCCAGAAATATAACTGAAATAAGAAAAGAGATGCTTCATAGTGAAAGCAAAGAGTACAGCGCAGTGAAAATACGCCATCAGTACATTTTTTCAAAAAACGTTAATTAAGTAAATGTAACGAGTTACGACCCAACTCTGTCTGTAAGCATTTTGAAAGAAACTTTCCAAATGATGCATCATAATTCAGTGGAAATCAAAGTGGCACAATGTTGTGTATGACAAATAAATGTACTAAAATGTAACCTAATTACTGAAAAGTAATGAGAGTGAGTCAGAGAGTGGTTGCTTTTCAAAGTTTTATGTCAGATGACCTATTGCGTAAATCTCCTTGGCTGCCAGTTTCAGTCAGTGGGAGGAGAAGCAGATCGTTTGGGGAGTGGAGAATCGGTTGATTGGCAGAATGATTAACTCGAGACAGACTCAGCATCAGGCCGCCTGTAATTCTCCCCTCGTCTTTCGCCACTCCCTTGCTCACTGGTCCATTACTTCCTTCCTAATTATCCGCATTATCTTAATGACTAAAAGCCGCTAAGGTTTCTGAGTTCTGCTATATGTTTGGCCCGGGAACCAATAATATTATTCAGCACCATTCACAGCCTGGAAACGGTGGCATATGTTTAAAATAAACTGCAATTTCCCATCCTGCAATGCAATTATGTGTGCTCATTGTAATGTGCAGCGACACGTTACGCCCTCATTCCGACACTTCACTGCAAGATTTATTCCAGCTTTGCAAACATTGGAGACGAGGGCTATTTAAAACAATTTATAAAAACTGCCAGGGCGCCTGCTCAACAGGCTGGTTCTAAATAACCAGTCTGTAGTAAAACTACCACTGCAGCATAGTTTCATGCAGCGTAGATATTAAAAATAATAATAAAACAAACAAGGGACTTCTTATTACGGTCGGCATTTACTGTCGTTCATCATTTGTCATGAGAAATTACTTATATGAATTTTGCTTAATGTTTTTCACAATAAATTCCGATTAATGAAGATTAAAGCCTGCCAAAACTGTCCTTACAGTCTGAATGTATGCTATTAAATCTGTTTGGTTTTGTGAATTAATTCAGTCCCCAGCTGTAGTTTGTCCTCTGCTGCCTCCTGCAGGTTACAAACTGTAACTGCAACTAAAGCAAGTAAAGGAAGTAAACTGATCTGGATTTTAAAAAAACAAGAGAGACTAAACCAAATGTAATATTTTAAAGCTTTTAGGTATGAAATGAGATTTTTAACTAAATACATAAATGTCACATCACACAACATTCACATGCACTCTCTGTGTTCAGTTAAAGGATCACTGAAATTGTGTTTTTCAAACAAATATGTACATAACTGAATCATCCAGATCTTAAAATATACATGCAGAAATACAATATATTTTTAAGAGACACATCTACCACTTTTAAATGCCAACAGGGCTGAACATATCGCTTGAATATTTTCTTATTGTATTGTAAAAATAACATAAATGTTGATAGAAAAAAAATGGAGGAATAAATTTGGGCCAAACTTTTGAGTTCAATCTCAAAAATATTCTAGAAAACATAAGAATATTTCTGTAATTTTCTCAACAAAAAAAGAAAAATGTGGACATTTCTGAGATCCAAAAGTTGAACCTCAGAAATCTTTAGATTAATGCCAGAAAACTCAGAAAGTTTCTGAGTTTTGAGTTTGAAAAGTCAAAAACTTGCTAGAAAAATATCAGAAATTCTGAGATGAATCTCTGAAATTTTCTAGGACAAACATGGAAATTTCTGAGTTTCAAAAGTAGAACATTTTCGACTTTTCTAACATTTGCTCTGAGAAATTTTCTTCTTTTTTTATTTTAGTTTTGAGATTCATCTTAAAATTTGAGTTTTTGTGCTGGCATTTTGCTCATTTTGAAAAATGTGTATATACAATGACCCCAATACGCCATTGTATAATTGTCAGCATTTTTCCCTCCTGTCTGATTCCATCTGCTGATAAAATCACTGGGACTGTTGTAATTATCTCTGTGTGGTGTAACTGTACGATGTGTAACAACATCCAAACATCACCGACTCTAGCAAAGCAATAAACTAATAACAACCAGTCATATGACTGCATGCTCATTACTGTGAACCAACCAGGCATGCATGACGTTTGAGGCCATGAATACATGCAATGGCCACAAAGCAAAGATTACCTGACAGTAGGAGTGGCTTTGTGAATACAGGGAGGAGAAAGGCGGGGCTGGAACTTCATTCAGCCTCTCGCCTTCTGGGTGAGGCCACACCTCATCATCAAATGGTGCCTCAGCTGATTCTACCTACAGTGTACAGACACAGCCCAACAGTTTGTCAGAAGAAGCACTCAAAGTTGGGGTATGTGACTCATGGTTGTTAAACAAATCTGAAGAAATGACCAAAAACAACCAATCACAGCCGGGAGGAGGGTCTTAGCGCTGTCAATCATGGTTCTCCTTGTCAAAGGAACCTGCTATGAATGCTAAGACTGGTTAGCATGGTCACCAATAACAGGAAGAAAGGGTTTTCCTGTAAGGAGAAGTTGTTTCTCTGACATTAACTTATTTAGCAACGCCTACATGAGATTGATGGACAGCGCTAGGTCCCACCTCCCTACTCTGATTGAAGAAATGCACCAGTCCTGACTAAAACAACCAATCAGAGCCAAGACAAGGGTCTTAGCACTGAGAATCATGCTAAGGCTAGTTAGCATGACCACCAATGTTGGCGGATAAACGGTTTTTCTGTAACGGCAAGTTGTTTCTCCGCCATTAACTTATTTATTGGCATGTTCACGAGGGTGATTGACAGCGTTGAGACCCTTCTCTTGGCTGTGATTGGTTGTTTTGGTCGGGAGCGGAGCAAGAGCATCTCAGGGAAGAGGTGGAGGAAATTGATTTTATTTAATATTTTTTTTTTACTGATTTTCCATCTCATTTTGTGGCAGTTTTAACATATATGTGAAAAACATTTTAAGTTTTAATAAAACTGATATACTGCAGCTTTAACAACTGAGCTGCACTTACATTTAGGATGATTATATCATCACTAAACAAATTAAAGACGATAATGTTGATGTTCTCGGCCAAAAACATATGAAAATGATAATAATAACTGAAACACTCTGAAAAATAAAGTAATGCTTTGGGATGTGAAAAGAAAACTGACAAGAGTAGATTTTGAAAAGTTGCTGGGCTTGAGATGAAGCGGAAAACTGTTTTCTGTTCTCACAAATGAAAAATGTAACATGGTTAGAAGTTATGGATGAACAGAAGCGAGTCGATTTGATGAAAATACAAAACTCTGTGCAGGTATTTGGGGTCCGTGTGAATAAACGAGATTTTACCTGCTGAGCAGCACATCGAGGTTTAGATTTCTGCCATGAAATGAGCGTTGGAGTCACCCAAACTGGTAAAATAAACCTGATTCAAATTCAGGAGGCTGTATTTGTTTTTGTTTTTTTGTCATTAATCAAATAAATATTCCAGATTTCTATGTCTTTTTTGGACACCACAGATTTTTCACATGGCCCTACTTGCGTTTTTTGTAAACGGGGTTATGCGGAGCGTGACTATGTGAGTGAATGTTTGGGAGTAGAGACAGAAAAAGGAACATTTACATGGCGAGGACAAGATGGCTGGTCCATCTGTCATACTAAAAGAAGCCAGATCCAGTACCTGTGGTCACACACATTCAAATAAACACACACCATCTGGGAAGAAGTTCTCAAAATAAACCCAAAATCCCAGCAGCAAACACACACGCTGACCGCAGACGGAGGAGTTCTCCTCGCAGATTTTATCCAGACAGACAGGTGATAAGTCTGCAGAAAACATTGATGATAATGGAGATAATGATGCTGTGATATCATAAAGGTCAAGTTCTCCGAAATGTCCCCAAAGTAAATAAGTTTGTTTAAATTTAAAGGTAAAACCAATTTGTTGTGACTTTGGAGTGAGTGGTTTCTAGTCACAAGGTGGAGCTGCACAACAACTTTTCCTGCAACAATGAATCTCTCCGGCTTTGGCCCAAAGGTTTCCACCTGGTTAACCTTTGACCTGCTGGTTCTGAAATGTTATTAGTGCAAAGACAGAAACACAAAACGCACTCAGCTCTGTTATGTACCAAAACAAACAAATACAGACGCGTTTCAACCAAACATAGAGATTTTATCAAATGAAACCCACCACACATGCCAGAACATTAAAAAAGAAGAACATAACGATCTGATGAAAATGAAGCCAAAGACAAAGAAATTAAACATGTTAGTGGTATCAACTTGATAGGAAGCCATTATTTTAATGTTAATTTAACTTTACAAGTGGTTAAAAACCAATTACTGTAGAAATAAAATCTAAATAAATGCAAGTGGGAGAGAAGAAAAGATGCAGTGTTAATTCTGATGTAGATGTGTTAAAATACGGAGGATTTAAAAAGACAAAGACAATGAAACAAAGGATTTTATAACTGAAAAATGGGGCAGGAGCCTCAGCACAGATGAGCAGAAGTATTCTCCTGATAAAAAGACAAAGTTTGTGGCTGAAGGTGAATTCAGACAACCCGGCCTCCAGACTCTGTCCACTATGTTTGACGTCATTTGAAAGTCACGTCTTTAAAGATGTAGTAACTTTTATAAAAAATATAGTTTTGTCATTTTAAACGGGAGTATCAGGTTTTCGTAATGGTGGTCCTCTAAACTTGGTTCAACTGGGACCAAATTTGCAACATTTGTTAAATTTTCAGCTGCTGTGGTTCAAATTCACACTCCACTGTGAGGCGAACTGAACTAATTGAAAAACCAGTTCCCCTCCTCGCCTGTGGGGGCGCTGTACCAAGAACTTGCTTTTGGAGCGGTCTCTGCGCCGATTGGCGTTTACATACGCATTCGAACTGCACCAGAGTTCACGACAACTAAACCAGGTCGGTTAGAGCGAACCAAACAGGGTTGGTGTGATTCCATAGTGAGCAGCAAATGAAAAAATAACATTCAAGCAACTAATCGTTGAGCATAAAGTCGCACAGGGCGCCACCTGGAGTTACCTGAGCAGGAGCGATGTGTGTATGAGTGACGTATCCGTGGACGTGTTGGATCTGGGAAAGCTGCCGCTCCGCCACCTGCACCAGCTCCGCCCCGCGCAGGTCACCATGATGACCGAGGGAGCCGTCCCTGCCCAGGGATCGGTCCCGTTCTCGCTCCATGCTCCCGATGCCGCCTCCGTCTCGCCTCCAGGTCCCTCTGTCCCTCCCCAGCGTCCCTCCCTGCCTCCCCAGTGTTCCTCCACTTCTTCCTAGAGTTCCTCCATCCCTTCCAAGTGTTCCTCCATCCCTCCCCAAGGTCCCTCCATCCGTTATCTCTCCGGCTATTCCCATTGGATGCTGATGGCAGGTGTGATGGTGGAGTCTTGGGGCACCTGGTGAAGCCCCTTCCTCTTCTTGATATCGATACTTCTACAGCGATGGAGGGGTTAAAAAGCGGGAAAGTGAAAAGAAAATGCAGGAAAGGGAAAGGCAAAACATGGTTCAGGGAATGAAACACAACGGAAGAAACAGACAGAAAAACAGATGTTAATAAATAGAGGTAAATCATTTAGATTCAAGATTTAGAAGAGTTAAAAACAGAATAGAGCGTCACCCTCAAAGGGGCAGTACTATGTATTTTCCACATATATTTCCGTTTTATACCACAATCAACTAACTACTTTACTTTCAGTTGTTGTCTACATCAAATATGATTTCCTAATTTAGCTCCTTTAAATTGGGTCTCTGCCTCCGTACAAACTCTGAGAAGTAGCTCCTGTGATGAGCTCAGCAGTTCCACCATGTTTGCTAATTGCAGCTGGCTAGTCTGGAGGAGCAGAGGAGGAGCTGCGAGGGCCGACCACACGCTTTGCACAGCTGAATGTTTCCCATGAAGACTAAAGGATTTCTGAAAACTGCTTTAAAGAAGCAAAAAAACACTCCACGTATGTTTTTGTTGAGGCAATAACAGCATAACGTGACAAAAACCGTCGATTTTACGTAGTACTACTCCTTTAAAGAGACAAACAGAGCGTAGCGTGAGTGTGTGCACACATGCATGTGTAATCAGACATTAGATCGGACATTTTCTTAGTGTAAGCACATGGGCCAGTGCAGGTGTACACCCAGCATGACAATAATTGTTTCCTGAGCTTCCCGACGTGCACATGCATGACCGCCCCGACCGACGCGCACAGCTGGAAGCAGAAGTTTTCAGGCAACACAAAAAAAACCCAAATTAAATAAATAAAACACTGAGCCAGGACGGTGAAGAGGGGACTAAAGCACCTCGGGGAGTAACAGTTTCCTTCTCTTCCTCATAACTGTACATCATCATCATGCCTCTTTCAGTCGCAACAGAGAGCCACACCGACCGCTCTCCTCTGTCTAATTCAGCTTTTACTCTGCAGCTCCTGTATGAAGTATTAGGCATTTTATCTCCCTGTAAAGGACTAAATACAGAGATAGAAAAAGAAAGCTGATGGGGGAGGGGTGTACGCTATGATGCCAGATGTGAATATAACGTTCAGCTGGCTGAGCAGCAAGGAGGAAGACCCTCAGTACAAACAGTTACATCAGCGCTAAGTCCTTTACTCACTGAGCTAATTTAGTGGATTTTAATCTTTCGTTTTATGTTTTGCTTTTGGACTTTAAACAATCTGAGAAAGCAGGACGTGCTGAGAAGAACAGATGGCTTTTTTAAGCTGCGCGACAAACAAAACGTGGCTCACATCAAGATAACAGAGTAATTCCAGCAAAAGCTCCAATTAAAGACAATCTAGAAACAATCTCTCTTCCCTCCGTTCGGTAAAAGAGAAGTTCAGAAATTATATCCTCACCTGGAGTGAAGCTACAGTGAGAATTTTCTGTAAAATGTGTGAAGCGCTCATTTAAAAGGACTTGTGGTTCTTATACAGAGAAACTGCTTCGCTGTTTAAATCAACAGAAATAATGTCTTGCATGGTAATGCAGCCACTGAACGTCCTTAAGACATTTTACATTTACAAATATTAAAATGTCAACAACACAAAGCCAAAGAAAAAGGGCACAGATGTTATCAGAAAAAAACTACTAAACAATTTAGCAGTTTTTTCATTAAAGATAACCTGATTATGCTTCCTTGTTCCAATCGATCTATGGCCTATACAAAACATTTTCAATTAATGCTTCACACAAACTCATTCTTAGATGAGATTTCAGTGTGATCAGTTCTTTGTTTAAGGGCCTTATGTCACTTTCAACCCTTTCAAGATGCTGCTGGCTACGCCCCTAGCTCAACGCAATTACACAACCGTACGTCTTTGAATAGTAAAAGTGGAGCCTCCTGCACAACCAACAAGAAAGCAGCAAGTCAACAACAAAAGACTTTTCCAGCAGCCATTGTGCAGCGCAAATAGCGGTAAATCCAGCTGAAGAAATGTGCTGGAGCTCAGCTTGGGTTGCTCGGTGACGGGGCAGTGCCTGCTGATTTTTACAAAAGCTCATTTTCTGAACACCAAAAAGCATTAACTTACTGCCAAAAACCTGTTGTTTTTTTTTTAAACGCTTGAGTTGTCTTTAGAAGCGGTAGAAACTCAAACGGAAGCACAAAAACGTGATAACTGTTTCATTTTGGCACACTCGTATCTTGGATTCATTTATCCCATTCATATTTTAGGGCTCTCGTAACCGCATCTCTAAATGCTCGCAGAAGGATTTTCAGCAACACCAGTGAAATCGTACTACTCTGCGGAGAACGCTGTTTAACAATTTAGCACCGTTTCAAGGTACATTTCTCTCTGGGGCGTTCAAGGACAGTCATGGTTTCCAACCCACATGCATTCATAATTCCTCTAACGCAGAGCTGGGGTTATGCTCATATATACCCTTGGTGAATTTGCAAGGACATTTGATCAATTGTTTGTTTTTAGCAAGACAAATTACTTATTGTCCAGGGACAACAGGTGAAAAAAACATTTTGCTTAATTCTGGGGTATTTTAAGTAGTGTATGTTGCTCCTGCCAAATGAATTTAAAAAAATTCAAAATAGACCAATAGGAGAATTTTAAAGCCTATTTTTAACAAACAATGATTTTAAACTAACTTACAAATGTCTTTATAGGAAAGTTGCTGGTTTTCTAGATTGCTAGGAAGATAGGACGGCTAGTTTACTAGCAACTACTTTGCTTGCTCTTTAGCAAACCAGCTTTCCTAGTAATCCTCCATGTAATCATTCTTGAGAATACTGAATATAAACAGGCCTCATAAATAAGGTATTTTTATCTTGAAACCCGGGTGAGTTACGAGACATCATAAAGTTAGAGAGCAGGAGTTTCTGAGCCGACTTTGTTGAGGGATAACTGCGTCACGGCGAGTTCAGGGTACAGTAAGCGGGGATAAATAAGCGCTCCTATCAGACAAACAGCCTGTAGGGAAGATAAGAGACCGATTCACCTCCTCTGCAGAGAGCCAGACAGTATTAATACCATGACCTTTTGACCTCTCTGTAGGTAGCCAACAGACAGCAAGAACACACATTATGGTGTTGGTTGTGTGTGGGTTTTTAATTTTTTATTATTATTTATATATATATATGTATATAAATAAAATATTGTTTCAAGACAATATTTTTATTGCAATAACTACAGGAAAAATTTATTTTTATTTATTTTTTGCGACAGGCCTATTTGCAACTCTTTTTTAAAATAATTATTTATTTCTCTACTTCATGTTGACATGAGCAAATGTTTTGAGTGAAAATGAGCAGTTTGAAGAAAAAATAAAAACTCTCAAAAGTCAGTTCACTTTCCCAATTGAGCTTCAGTCAATCATCCATCTTCAAACACAAACAGGAAACATAAAACAAATATGTTTTAACCAAACATTCACCAGACACAGACACAAAACAGCAGTTTTTGTTACAGTTTCAAAGGTTTTTTATTGGAAGTAAATGGTTTGGAAACATTTTCTTTTACCATATTTTGTTATTTTTGTTACTTATTCAGATAAATTATTGCCATTTTTGTCCTTAAAATACCAAAAAAGAAAAGAAAAATATGTCAAAGTACTCTAACTTGAGTACAATTTGTGGGTACAAATTCCAGAGATTGCATAGGTAATATATTACCTATTTCGAAGGTAATACTATGTGAATGTTATAAAATCAATTTTTTTCTTATAATAATACAAATATATTAATAATTGAGCCAAATGGAAGAAAATTAGCTAAATTATCTTAAAAAATGTGATCACAGAGCTGACAATGGTCTATTTTTGAAAACTGTTTTTTTTTTTTTAGTCAGGCAGTGCGCGGCTGCTTTACACCGGGGCGCGCATAACACCACAACATCCACTTCCTGTGGATCCAAACAGACATGCCCCAAACCCAAACCCACTTCCACTGCTCCACACTTTAACCTCGTTTAGGCCAGCATCGGCAAAACGAGCCGGTCTTACCCTTCCCGTGACATTCAGCCCGGTTTATTTTCTCTCCGCCTCTCGCCATGGCGTTTTGTTGTTCGCTGTCATGTCGGTAATTAGTGAAAAGCGCCGGGAAAAATAATGTGGCGGGAAGGATTTGAGGGGCAGGGCGCTAGGACCATGAGGAAACCCTGTCACAACGCTGCACGCGCTTGCCCTCTGCACTTAGCCACACAAACACACGCGCACTTAACCGTTATTTCAATCATTTCTATTTTTATTTAGACGGTAAAACGCCTCTAAAATGAATGAATATATAAATAAAAGACATTTAAAACGGGTTTTTTGTCTATTTGTGAGTTGGATAAGAAATATGAGCCTTTTTAATTAGAACTAAGCCTGCAGATTGACCACACACACACACACACACACACACACACACACACAGGCTCTAACATACACACATCTAGAGACGCAGGAAGATGTGAAGTGTGTGTACACGCTTGCTGTCATGTGTTAGTGTGTCAGCCAGTCCTGCATAGCCAGAGAAACGTGACTAGATTGGGAGCAGATTCAGCATCCTGGTACGTGTGTGTGTGTGTGTGTGTGTGTGTGTGTGTGTGTGTGTGTGACAGAGTAAAGCCAGGCGTTAGTCACGCTTGGTGAGATATGAAAGAGCAGGGGATCCTCTGCCGTAAGGAACTTCTCTCTCACACACGTCTGCATCTTTCTCTTTCCCTGCATCATCCCATTCTTTGCATCCCTCACTTCGCTATCTTTAATGCGTTGTAGGTCTGCATGCAGCAAAAAAAGCACCTATTGGTGGCAGACAGCAGCTAAAATCTTTTAATAGAGTCAAACATATGGTTATCTGTTAAAAGCTTTTCCTTAAAATTGTGGCTATGGCATGACAAATGTAACAACTGAGATCAAATTTGTTGTTTTTATTTAATAAAATGAATATTTTCCCACAGAAGATGCAAGTTTTTGGCAAATTTAATCAGGAATCAAAGAAAATCTGGATTTAAAGG